GACGAGCTCGATACCTGTGACCTCAACCGTCCTATTCTACGAATACGAAAAAAAAAAAAAAAAATCTACTTCTTCCTTTTTTTTATTTTCATTTTTACAATTTTTATTATCGATGAAATGGATGATAATCGGGAGATCAATCACTCCTTTTAATAAGAAAGTTAGACCCGTTGCGAAAACGCCTCGCGGATATTTTATTTCCTCGAAATAATTCTTATCGAAAGAAAGTTTATAGCGCTCGAACGAGGCATTACGATTCGCGTTAACGATAATTAGGGGGACGCGCGTGAAAAGGGACTTTAAACGGAGAGAGGTGTCGCTGCGCGCGAGCGAGAGGGGGGGATCGCCAAGTGCGATCCTTGGACGCGGTATGCACGCGCGCGTTCCTGCGCGGAAATCGCAAGTAGCTCGGGGGAATGCGCTAGGTGGTCGTACGGGCGAGCGGCGGCCATTACCTCCCGGCTGTTACCAGTCGGCCGAGAAATAAGCCGGATGACGGTCGTTTTCGTTCGTTAAAGAGCGACTCGTTTCGATCCTCGCCGACCGCCGCCCGTCCAATTGCGCCCCGCCACTCCTCCTCCTCTTTCTTTCCCTTTTCCGAATCCGGAAACACGGTATCACGCCGGATTATTTCGCGAATCACCGTCCCCTTTTTTTCCTAACTAATCGAGCAAAGATTGTAAAGAATTCTTAAGGGATTGTAAAAATGTGTATATCTATGAACAGAGTCGATTTATAATGTAATGATTTATACATTTTAGAGAAATGTTTTGTATAGTAATTGAACTGAATAATAAGTGATATCTACGATTATATCTCTTTTTCCTAACAAATCGAGCAAAGATTGAAAAAGAATTCTTAAAGAATTCTTAAATTGTAAAAATATATATATCGTATCTATGAACAGAGTCGATTCATAACGTAATGATTTATATATTTTAGAGAAATGTTTTGTATAGTAATTAAATAATACGTGATATCTACGATTATATCGTGAAATCTTTTTTTCTTAACTAATCGAGCAAAGATTGAAAAGAATTCTTAAAGGATTGTAAAAATGTGTATATCGTGTCTATGAAGAAAATGAGCAAAAATTTAGAAAGTAATAATTTATAAAGTACATTTTAGAGGAAATATTTCGTATAGTAATTGAACTGATATTTATGATTATATCGTGAAACCTTTTTCCTAACAAATCGAGCAAAGATTGAAAAGAATTCTTAAAGGATTGTAAAAATATGTATATCGTGTCTATAAAGAAAATGAGCAAAAATTTGTAAAGTAACGATTTATAAATTTTATACATTTTAGAGGAAATATTTCGTATAGTAATTGAACTGATATTTATGATTTATGATTATGTCGTGAAACCTTTTTCCTAACAAATCGAGCAAAAATTGAAAAGAATTCTTAAAGGATTGTAAAAATGTGTATATTGTGTCTATGAAGAAAATGAGGAAAGATTCGTAAAGTAACGTGATTTGTACATTTTAGAGAAAATGTTTCGTATAATAATTGAAAATATTTCGTATAATTTGAAAATAATAGATGATATCTACGATTATATCGTGAAACTTTTTCCTAAGAAATCGAATAGAGATTGAAAAAGAATTCTTATGAATTGTATATCATAAAAATGTGTATATCATATCTATGAACAGAGACGATTCATAAGTTAATAATTTATATATTTTAAAGAAATGTTTAGTTGAATTGAAAATAAGTGATATCTTGTTCTATGATTATATCGTGAATAACGTAACAAATCGAGCAAAGATCGAAAAGAGTAAAGATTGTGAAAATAATATATCGTGTCTATAGAAAATGAACAAAGAGTAACGATTTGTATGTGAAACCTTTTTTTCCTAACAAATCGAGTAAAGATTGAAAAAGAATTACGAATTGTAAAAATGTGTACATTGTCTAAATGTTTATAAATGCTTCGTATCGATTGAACTGAAAATAATAGCTGACACTAGTTCTATGATTTCTATGATTATATCGTGAATAACTGTCCCCTTTTCCCTAACAAATCGAACAAAAATCGAAAAGATTGTGAAAATATGTATATCGTGTCTATGATAATCTATGATAATATATGATAATATATCTACGATAATATATCTAGAAAATGAGCAAAATGTCGTTTCGTAACGATTTGTACATTTTAGAGGAAATGTTTCGTATGATAATTGAACTGAAAATAATAAGTGATACGTTCTTCTACGATTATATAGTGAAACCTCTTTTTCCTAACAAATCGAAAAAAAATTTAAAAAGAATTCTTACGAACTTTAAAAATGTATATATTATCTAAATGTTTAAATGTTTCGTATCGATTGAACTGAAAATACTAACTAACACTAGTTATTCTACTATTATATCGTGAATAACGCCCCCTTTTCCCCAACAAATCGACCAAAGAGTGAAAAAAAATTCTTACGAATCATAAATATCGTATATCGTGTTTATCCTAGAGAAAATAAGCAAAGATTCATAATTCAACAGTTTAGAGGAAATGTTTCGTGAAAAATCGTAATCGTAATCGTTTTCGTATCGTAATTAAATAATAGCTGGTATTATGCGTATTACGCGAGGCTCCATTACGCAGTGCAGTCATGTGACCATATGGGTTGTCCCCGGACAGGTTCGTTTAAATGGGACTTGCACGATACATATACGCACGTTTCAATACACGGTATTCGCCACCGTGAGAGGATTTTTAACACCACGAGTGTTTCGCATTTTACGCGCGGAATTATAAGTACAACGAGGAGGGACGTAATGCGATTGGACCGTTCGAGATAATCGCGTTTCATCGCGCGAATCACGCTGCCTTGATATATATTCCTTATTAACGATCCAAATTAATTCGGCTTAAGGCTACACCGCTAAGAGGATCGAGAGCTATCGCAATTTTCCTCGAGACGAACCGCTCCTCTTCGAACACGAAAACCAAGGGTGAGAAAAGAAAGAAAGGAAGAAAAAAATTTTTCTTTCGATCGATTCTCATCGATCGAAAATGTTTACGACAGTTCGAAACGAGAGCGTTAATTCGCATCGACGTCCACGCGAAATCGAGTAAAAAAAAAAAAAAAAAGATGTCGCCTCCAACAATTGATCCTCCCCTCTTTTTCTTTCTTTTTTTCGTCTTTTCTTTCAAAAAATTGCACAGCAACGGCGTAGCGACGAAAATGGTTACCTCGACGAATGAACTTTCCACCGCGCTTTTCCGCGCGCTTGGGCACGCACCGTGTCGAAACAATGGGAAACAAAATAGCGTACTCCCTCTCTCTCTCTCTCTCGTTTCGCATTCCCCTTTCTCTTCTCTTTGTGTTTCGGCTCGTGCGTTTATTACGCGCAGAACAGAAGAAAGACGTTGACACGCGAAAGGTCTTAGGGGAGAGGATAAAAGCCAGAGAATAATTTTACGGAACGGCCGAGTATTGAACGGACCGGCGGTCTATTATTAATCGATAATTAGCAGATCGGCCGACGATCTCCCCTAACAATTAATCCTTCCCTCCGTCCCTCCGCCCATCCCTCCTGATAATGAAAGTTTCAGGATATATATAGTTCCAAATCGCATATATACTATACGATATACGAATATACAGGTCTACTCTCGATCGATCGAAAATTACAAAATAGTAAACAGTTTGTATACAAAACGCGAATCCCTATAAAATCAAATTCGTCGTCTGAAAATTTGAAATCTGACATGATTGACCGAGGATCCACCCTTTAATTATCCCTCGTTAATAAATCGTAGCCGCGTAATAACTAGCCTCGCACCGATTATCGGCCGATTATCCCCCGACTCTCTCTCTCTCTCCTTTTTCCCTAGCAAGTTTCCACCGCTCGTTTCGACTCGACTCGACTCGACTCGACTCGACTCGACTCGTTTCGAACTTTCAAGTAGCAAGGAGAAATCCGATCGAGAAGTTCCGATCGACGGAGTTGCTCATTCCCCATTCGATCGGCGTCGTCCGTTCGCGCGACGACGTACACGCCTAGGCAGAGCACGGAGAGCTATGCGGTTGCGACGAGCAGGTAAGCGAATTTCTGTCCAAGAAAAGGGGGAGAGCACGTATTGCCTCGAACCACGCCTCGACACGGTTAACAACCTAACATCGAACCTAACACCGCCTAGCAATCCGCCAGTAACATCCCGACGACTTTGGACTTGGGATGGGCGAGAGGGGGGGGAAGGGGAGCGCGATCGATGAGAGCAAACGGGTTCGAGCATTGTTCCATCCAGATTATTGCGTCGCAGATTATCGAGCCTTATCATCCGAGTTATCGACCGAGTTTTTCAAGCTGTCTCGATTTCGCAATTTCGAAAGTTAATATTGAACTCGATGCCGTCCCAACCCCCGTTATCGCCGAATATCTCTCTCTCTTTTCGAGGATGGAGGAGAGAGGCGTAGGAGAAGAAACGATGAAAAATGACTAGAGAGAGAGAGAGAGAGGGGGGCAGTAACAGAGGGTATGTACAAGGTTCCTCCTCCGTTTCCTTTAATCCTACGTTCTCGAACAGGCGTCGACATTTTAAATTATCGATTCGCGTTTGCTCTTCCTTTCTTTCCGATCCTCGCTTTCCACGCTTCCCTTTCCTGGGCTCCAGCTTCATTATCATTTTATGGCATGTATCGCGATCGGCCACGATGTTCCACCGCCTGTTTGACAACGCTCGCTCGTCGTGGGCCGAGAGAGAGAACTCGTTTCTCTCTGGAAACGAGTGACTGTAGATCTCTAGCAGTATAAATAGTCTCGTTCGTTTTTCTCCCTCTTGTAATTACCCTACAACGATCGTACGTAACACGAATATATAATATATTTGGAAAGTCGAGTCGATTCCAAGACTTCGTGTCTCGAGGATCTTGCAGGCTCTCTCGAGAGCTAGATTTAACGGGAGAAAATGAGTGGATTGTAAGAGGAACGAAAACGGATTGGATATTATTACGTGATTCGAGTCGAGCGATTGTTCGTTTACTTACGAATAACACCACGTTGTAAATGTGCAGAACGTATTTCAGGAAATTGACCGAGCAGCAGCCGTCGTCTCTGGTTCTTAACCTGGTCGAGGTGCCGGGCAACCTCTCCGCGCTTTTAGCCATGATTCCTCGATTCGTTCCCTCCGACTCGTGTGGCTCCGTGGTGCTCGTCGTCGTCGTCGTCGTCGTCGTACTCGTCACCTCGTCACCGATTCTGAAATTCGTTCGAGGATTAGAGGATTTTTCACGTTGGAACGTAAGGAACGTCGAGTTCTCTTCGCTTTTTTTTTTTCTTCGTCCACGAAATTCCATCCCCTTCGGTCTTATCTCAAGTAGACCCCGTTGGAGGGGGGTATGTAGGGGGATGTATGCGCGTAGGGGAATTGTGAGTAGTTCGAGGGCCTCTGGCCATCGGCGGAAAAATTCGGATAGATTTCGTTTCTTATGCTTGATCGATATCCGTCGCTTCGGATATCCGTTCCTCGAAATCCTTCCTTCCGTCGATTCACGAGAACTTCGATTGAATACTCGGACGAAAGCTTTGAAAATCTTGAGAACTTTGTGTTGTAATTGAAACAAGTGGAGGTACTCTCGAATTACGAGCAAGTGAAACTGTCGAGAAATTGAAAAATATATCGTGGAAAAGGACTCATGATCGAAGTAACTTCTTTATTTCGATATTTTATTGTAATTAAAATAAATAGAAGATACTGTCAAATTACGAGCAATTGAAATTGAATAATACATAGAGGAAAAGGACTCATAATCGAAAAAGCTGAAAGTAACTTTTCTACGTGAAATTCGATTTAAGAGATTGATCATATACGTATAAAGAAAATTTTGAGACTTTATTGCAATTAAAAAGAAGCAGAGGTAAAAGGTATTCTCGAATTACAAACAAGTAAAGCTGTTAAGAAATTGAATAATAAAGTAGAAGAATAATAGAGAAGAAATTGAATAATAGTAGAGGAAAAGCACTCACGATCGAAAAAGCTGGAAGTAACTTTTCTACGTGAAATTCGATTTAAGAAATTGATCATATACGTATAAAGAAAGTTTTGAGACTTTATTGTAATTAAAAATAAATAGAGGTAAGATAGTCTCGAATTACAAGCAAGTAAAGCTGTCAAGAAATTGAATAATACGTAGAGGAAAAGGACTCACGATCGAAAAAGCTGGAAGTAACTTTTCCACGTGAAATTCGATTTAAGAGATTGATCATATACGTATAAAGAAAATTTTTAGACTTTATTGTAATTAAAAACGAAGCAGAGGTAAAAGGTACTCTCGAATTACGAGCAAGTGAAACTGTCTAGAAATTGAACGAAATGGATAATACGCAGCAGAAAAGAACGATCGAAGAAACCGGAAGTAACTTCTTCGCGCGAATTTCTGAAATTGGACACATACGAGGGACGAAAATTTTGAGAGTTTATTGTAATTAAAACAAAAGCGTAAAGGTAATAAAAGTCGAATTACGAGCAAGTGAAACTGTGAAGAAATTGAACAATATATGGTGGAAAAGGGCTTATGATTGAAGAGCCCGGAAGTAACTTCTTCACGCGAATTTCTGAGATTGGTCACGGGGGACGAAAACTTTGAGACTTTGTTGTAATTAAAACAAGTAGACGTAAAAGGTGCTGTTGAATTACAAGCAAGTCAAAAGTATCAAGAAATTGAATAATATAATATAATATAATATATAGTAGAAAAGGATTTACGATCGAAAACTTTTATTCTAATTAAAACAAACGTAAAGGTAATAAAAACTACAAGTATCAACATACTGAATAATACGTGACGGAAAAGGACTTAGGGATCGAAAAACCCGGAAGTAACGTCTTCACGCGAATTTCTGAGGTTGGTCACGGGGGACGAAAACTTTGAGAGTTTATAAAAAAGATATCGTCGAATTACTAGCAAGTAAAAAGTGTCAAGAAATTGAATGGATAATGCGGGACGGTGAAGGACTTGGAATCGAAGAATCCGGAAGTAACCTGTTCAAAAAGATTGGAAGAAAAAGCGGCACGAGTTGGTACGAGGAGGCATCGTCCTTCCGCCTCGTCAAGGAACGCGGCGTTCGTTCGATCGATCGCTCTTCTCCCTTCGTTTTCCATCCCTTTTCTGCTCCGATAACCCTTTTTTCCTTATATTGGTCGCGTGCACGAAATCGGTCGGTGCCATCTTCGTCACGGCTCGACCTCTTTCTACGCCCCATAGTTTGGCTCCTTCGTGAAATTTCTTTGCCGCGCTTTCGATTACCGCTCATCAGTGGTGTGGCGAAGAATAATACTTAAATATTTTTTAAAAAATGTTTATTTATAATTATTAATTGCAAAAAAAAATGTAGTTTTTGTAAATTTTTTTTTTATGTAAGAATAAAGTAGATTATAACGCTTTAACAATATTTTTGTCGTTTTTTATGGTTTTTTATAAATGTTTACATTTATTATTATTAATAACAATTTAAAAATTATTCATAAACAAATATGTAATTTCATTTACATATTATTTAGTATCTTTTCATATAGTATCTATTATTTTAAATTATCTTTTATCCACAAATGATATCACATTTTCCCTGTTATTACTTCAACTTAACTCAACTTATTCATTCCTATATATATATAAACTCTATCTATAATATATGGTGTGGTATAGCGAAGTTTGAATAATTTATATGTATACATGTATATCATTTAGTTTCTTTGTGAAATTTCTTTCAATTAACACGTCTATATATAGCGATATCGTGACATTAAAGAGCGGCTCGAATGATTTCTAATATCTATCGTTCAGTTTCCTCGAAAATTTTCTTTGATAATCCTTCGATTAGCACGTTTTTATGACATGAAAAAGCTTGAATGATTTTTATACCTATCGTTTAGTTTCCTCGTGAAATTTCTTTCATCTATTTTCGATTAAACCTGCCTTTATCGTGGTACCGTTAAAAATCGAATGATTTTTACATCTATTTAGTTTCTTTGTAACTTCTTTGACGATCTTTCGATTAACGCGCCTTCCATCGTGTAATACCTCGATACTCGAAAATCGTATTGAATGATTTCTGTATCTACGATTTAATTTCTTCGTGAAATTTCTTTGACGTGTTTTCGATTAAATCTGCTTTTATCGTGACATTAAAAATCGAATGATTTTTACATCCATTTAGTCTCTTTGTAACTTCTTTGACGATCTTTCGATTAGCATGCTTTCCATTGTATAATATCGAAAACCGTATTGAATGATTTCTGTATCTACGATTTAATTTCTTCGTGAAATTTCTTTGACGTGTTTTCGATTAAACCTGCTTTTATCGTGACATTAAAAATGGAATGATTTTTTACATCTATTTTGTTTGTAACGATTCCCTTCTTTGACGATGTTTCGATTAGCACGCCTTCCATCGTGATATTATGACAACAAAAACAGCGTTGATCTCGAAAAGTTTAAGTGATTTCTATACTTTATTTCGTTTTCTCGAGGACATTTTTTGGTAATCTTTCCATCCGTCTTTCATTATGATATCGAAAAGCAGTTCGAATGATTTCCATATCTACGATTTAATTTCTTCATGAAATTTCTTTAACTATTTTTTTTAATTGTTTTCGATTAAATTTGCCCTTACAGTGACATTAAAAATCGTATGATTTCTATATCTACGATTTCCTCGTAACGAAATTTCCTTCTTTCACCATCTTTCGATTAGCACGTCTTCTGATCGTGTACCATCATGACATCGAAAAGTATATTGATCTCTATTAGAAAAGCAATTTAAACGACTTCTACAAATCTACTTTTCTCTCTTTCGCGTGCTTTCGATTAGCACATCCATCGAAAAACATCGTCGTTGATCTCTTTCGATTTTCTCCAACATCGACTTGACTCGAATCCGGCCGAAATCGAAATTCACTTAGAAAGCAGAGGGCGCGTGAAATGGGCATCCGTCGATAACGAGCCGCCAAGAATTAATTAGAGACACCAGCGGCTTATTTACTCGCCGCTAATTGTGCTTCCCCGATTAGAGCGTAAAACCGATCGGGAAACAATCCAAGTTGACGCAATCGACCGAGGCCATTCTTTTTTTCTGGAAGGGGTTTTGACGTGCCAAGGGTTCACCTTTCTCCTCCTGCCCTGAACGAAGGATATAAATGGCGGACTAACGAAGGAAGCGCGAGGTTGCCGAATAAGGAGGAAAGGCGATTGCCACGATGCCAAAGCGGGAGAAACCCTCGGAGGGAAGACGAAGGGAAGAGGAGGAGGCCGTGAAATTAAATGGGTGTGACCCGTCTCTCGTCGCGTGGGCGAAGAAAAGAAAATTTTTAAACGCGAGATATTTAACGATGATTAATTTCAGCTCGCGTAAAAGTTTCAACGAGGAATGGAAAATTCGAGTCGAAAAGAGCGACTTGATTCAATTTTAATTCTTCGCGCTCGAGGTTAACCGCCTGCTAACAACAACCTTTTTTGCTACGTCTGTCGCGCAGATTCTTTTGCGCGGTTACTTAAGGATACGATCTTTGAGAGTGAGCAATGGAGGACTTGGAGGTTGTCACGTTTTGCATTCAGATAGATAGAATAAATTCGACTATCTCTCTTATTAATTTGTCAATACAAATTGTGCAAGTCATCGGATTCAAATAAAACTTGCATATTTTTAATTGTAAGTATATTTATGTTGTAAGTTTATATTTAAAAAAAACTGTAATTTTATTCTTTTCATTTTTATTCAAGTATTTATCGATTTTGTTCCATTTCAAGTTACATTACACGTTTTATTTTTCTTTTTTATTTTGTATTAATTAAATGCAATGTTAATTTTTATATAAAATAGTTATATACATTTTTAACGAAATTGTAATAAAAAGCAATTCTCTAAAAATTAAACCTCCATATAAAATCGGAAAAAGATAATTTTGTCCAATTAGGCTCTCGATCATTCGAAGCACTGCGAGACGTTTCACGCAACTCGAGCGAATCACTACGTTAGATCTCTCCAAAGAATAAGAACGCAGTATGATTTGTGAATAAATTCCTTGGATCTTTATCTCTTTATTACGTAAAGCGTGTATAAAATCATCTTATCTAATGTACATTCGTCACGTATACGCAAAAATCATCTCTACTTCATCTTTCTAAACTGAAAAATTCGTCCAGGATTAACCCTTTAATTGCGGATACTCTTTTACCACAGTCAATCGCTCTAAACGTAAA